CAACAACACCAACACACAACAACACCAATCCCGACCGTCGTGACATAACTGCAAACCCCGGAAGCATAGATCTGAGAATGCGGGGTGCAACACGCACAAACAAACGCAGACATGAAGTGAACGATTCCTCACATTTTATTGTTCTCCTCCCAACCCCTAGGATTATTCCTCCTCATATAAACTGTAACGGCATGATTATGAGTTACTGAAAACAATTGTTCGCCTGAAATTGTGTTCTGAACTGCAGCAAGTGAAACAGTCTGGGATATGATGGTGCAAGCTATTCTTGATAGGGATCAACGACTTTATCGCTGGGAGGAATACTTCAGCGAACAGTCCAACCGGCTCTAGCTAGTCACTTCATCTGCAACTGAAGCTCCGTGGGTGGTGTCATGCAATCCTCCAACAGAAGCAGACGTTCGGTCTTGCATTCAAGCTCTGAAGCGAGAAAGGGCAGCAAAACCGGATGTTCTCCTTCCCTTTCTTCAAGAGGGGGTCAATGACCTCGTAAGCTCTGCTGATACCTTACTGCGCAACATTTGGACACAAGAACGCATTCCTTCATCCAAGAGTGAATCACTGATCGTTCCCATTTTCAAAAAAGAAGGGATAAGTTTGATCCAAATCGTCACCAAAATGCTAGCCACCGTCATACTTCGATGTCTGGCTCTTTTAAAAAAGACCAATATCCGTGAGTAGTAGGCCAGATTGCGGCCTGATTGTGGGTGTGTTGATCAAATTTGTACATTGCGTCAGGTCCTTGAACTGCGTCACGCCCGCCGTCGATCAACGATTGCAGTGTATCTTGATCTGAAAGAAGGCCTCGACTCAGTTGATCGCGAAGCCCCGGCGGGCTCCCTTCTTCGAACAGGAATATCCCAGAAGTACGTTAACCTACTGAGGCCACTGTACTTACATACCTCTGGTTGAGTGAGGGTTTAAAACGAACTAAGTAGACCGTTTCTCACTAGCAGCGGTGTTTGTCAAGGGTGCCCTCTTTCATCATTCCTGTTCAATTTCGTTGTAGACGAAATTCTGGTAAATCGCTTTAAGAGGCCTCCAAAACGTAGGAATTGAATGGGCAACTGGAGAAAAGCTGTGCGACTTAGAGTACACCCATGATATTCTCTGTCTGGTCGAATGTATGGAGGACGCGCAGAGCGCACTGAATAGACTAACAAGTGCTGTTGCCACATTCGGCATGTGTTTTTCACCTTCAAAGTGCAAAGTCATGCTGCAAGACTGGGTTTCTCCTACTCCCTCTTTGAAAGTAAATGGCCAGGAATTAAGAATAGTAGATTACTTTTCCTACTTAGGTAGTTGTGTGACCAATGATGGTAGGGCAGCAAAGGAGATAGCCGCCCGCATTTCCAAGGCTCGAGCAGGGTACGCAGCACTGAAACACCCTTGATGTGGACGCGATTTTTCGCTGAAGTTGAAACGTCGTGTATACTGTAACGTGTATATTGTTCGTTCAGTTCTGCTTTATAGTTGTGAGGCCTTGAATTTGCGAGTAGATATCCATCGACTAGGTGTTTTCTTTTTGAAGCGGTATAATACTTTCCGTCGAACCGGGACATCAGTTGGTTATACCAACTTTATAGTCGAACGTCTGGTTACCACCAAATAACCATTTTTTCTTGTTTTTTACTTTAAAATGTTCTCTTCTGCTCTTCTTATTTACTCCCACCCAACTTACCAAACGGAAAGCAGCAAGATGATGGAATTGGATTAGCAATAATTAACGGTGCCATACGTTCGGTCCTTCCTCCACAATAACTCACTGTATTTGAACGACGAAAAAAAGAAATCAATGTTTACCTACGAAACCCGACATTGAAGCAGCCGTATCTGATGTAGTTGATATTAACATTGCCATGCAAAAAGCTGGATTATTTTTCTTTCTAATTTTGGGCTTTAATATATTTTTAATTTTATTGTAAATGATCCTTTGTGCTTCATTATTTTTCAGGTTGATCTATCTCTATTGCTTCCTCACAACTCCGCCCAAATTGAGCTCATGGCGGTCTCACCCAATCTAAAGTTTATTTCTTTTTACTTGGATTGCGGTTTACTTCTTGTCACTAATTTACGGATGAGCGAGGTGCTCTCCTTAGTGGATCTGACTCAACGCATTTCAACCTCTCCGGATCCAGAAAACCCAGCGAAGAACCAAACAATGAGCACTCCTTTGGCGATGTTTTGGTCTACCAGTTCAGCAGTTGTGTTACACTGGCATCACTTAGTCGCCTTGGTTGGAGCACAAGGTGACGTTTACGAGTACTTCTTCCAGGATGATGTGTGGCTCGCACAAGAGGTAGGCTAATTTGTTTTCCCCACCGTGTTTTAGAATGCATTCATCCATCAATTTTCTTCCATGTGTCTTCCTTTAACGTGAATTTTAACTATTTTGTTGTACTGTATCGATACTTCATGCGCCGGGTTCCAGATTGATCTCAGAAATTGCGATCTTTCCTAATTACATCATCTTCACACTAAACCACTACGATCTCAAGTAAATATCATCCGGACAAACTTAATTTGTTCACATCACGGGGTCGTTTGCTCTTGAGAGATGCGTTCAGCAAATAACACAAAACAATGCGAAGACAAATGATAAGCATCCACTTATTTTCTCAGCTTCCCTCTGCCTATGCCGTTTGAAATAGGATACGAAACAAGCTTTCAGTAACAATTTCTTTTACCCTTAACCAGTATATTTTTAGTCATTTTCCTTGTCATTGTCATCGTTTTCGATTTGGGGCATAAACTGCACGCATGATCCAGGTGCAAATTTTGTCAATGGTTATTTTGTTTGACTTGTATTCATTCCCACGATAAATCTTTTCGCACTCAGTTATTTCCCCTTGTTCATCATCACTTCTTCCGACTAACGCCTCTCTCCTATGCAGGTCCCGTTTGAATTCAATAGAGAAACTTAAACTGGTGGTAAAATAACATTTGCCGCGTTTGATTCTTATTTGAAGCTATGTGAAAATAACGTCTTCACTGTACAGTTGTTGATTGCTGAGTCATCTGCAGGAGTGGACCGAACAGGTATCCTAGTGGAAAACGATCAAGTATCATCCCAGCACCTTTTCATTGTTGATTTTTTTTTGAATTTGTATTGTTTCTCTGATCACCCACATGGGTTTGTTGGTGTGCGGTTCAACTCCGAACGGTGATTGATTAGCGCACTAGAGGCGTTTTGGAGTCCTGCATTTTCCGATAGTTGATGGTTTAAGCTTCTCCCCCGGTAGCAATACGGTTATCGAAACCGGAACGAACAACAGCCTGAATGGCGACAAAAACCACACGGAATTCTGGAACACCAACTGACGTTATTTATGGATTGGTTCCGATGATCTTTCACCCTCCACCTTGACTGGGCGAATACTGCCAGTTGATCCTATTCCTCCATCTGGAATAAGTTTTCTCAAAAGGCATAAGGCTTCCGACCTCGACGGGCTGTCCCCATCAGTTTTTAAGGATGGAGGTTCAGCCTTGGTTTTAGAGTTAACAAAACTCCTGGGTTCAGTGTGGGAGACAGAAGAGGCTCCAACTGAATGGTGTGAATCGGTGATTTCAAGAAAGGTGACAGTTCCTCTTTTGAAAACCACTGAGGAATTAGTTTATTCAACGTCGTCTCTAAAATTCGCGCTGGCATCATACTCCGTCGATTGTCTGCCGCACGTGAAGGGTGCACACGTGAGAACCAGGCTGGTTTTAGACCTGGTCGAGGTTGTATCAACCACATCTT